TGCACGATTAATAAAGATCGACAGAATTTTTATCTTTAAAATGTTTTTTTTTATATATATAAAATAAGAAGGCATTTATTAATAACCATTATTTATACTTGAAATGTAAAAAATAGCAATAATCTTAGATTTTTGAATTCAGCATTTGATATTTGCTAAAGCAGAAAATTTATTGAACTAGTACTATAAGTATTCTGCTAATCTGTGTAATTTTTCATATCACAAATATGCAATGGTTCATTGTGCTAATAAGAGATAAAACAGTTACATTTTATAAATTTTCATTATAGTTCTTTGTGATCTGGGACTTGCATTTTTTCAAGAATATGATTCATGCGTTCTGTGACTTTACTTGGAACCATGCTGATTCCTTTTGAAGGATCAAGATAGTTTAAAGCAACAGTCATTCCAAATGCAATAGAATTTTTTTCAGTATTCGGATCTGCAAAGATACGATCAATTATCAAATTAAGATAAGTGTAATGCAGATCATCATTAGTATCAACAGGTTGGTTAAGTTTCAAATAAAACTCTTTTGTAATATTAGCTTCTTTGAACTTTCATTCTTCTTCATGCATGACCTGTCGATTTCCTGTTTTTGGTTTTACAAGATCTGAAAATTCACTGTGAATAGTATCCTTAATTTGTTGGACTATGTTACTTCTTCCTTGACGGCAAAACTGCTGAGCCTGATAAAAGCAGATAAGATTAATTAACTAAATAATTAAAATTTCTCATTACAAGGTACTTACAAGAGAACAGATATTCTTGTTAAAATAGCATTTCCAACCACAATACTTTATTTTACTCTGGAAATCAACCTCTTTTATATCCAATAATGTATCATAACATATCTTCATCAAGTGTTCATCAGTTGGATACATTGTTTTTTCGATTGCAGCATAAATTGCTTCACCAATTGCATCCTATTACAAAATATTATAGAAAATTATATTATATATGAAATTAAAATATCACTTAATACAAATTTAAATGTTTCGACTTATCAAGTAATACAAATTCAGATGCTATTATTATGTTCACATGATTTTACGTTATCATTAATATTAACCTTATTAAAACTACAAACAAATTTTTAAAATATCACTGTCAATATGAATTTAAAACCAATTCGAATGGTTAATATTAATGAGAGTCACATGCATATTTAATAATTGTTATACCTCTATCTACTTCGACTCCTTTTCTATATTATTCTTAGAACCGATTTTCAAGTTTACATATAGTTTGTTAATTTTTGTTTGCATTTCTTGAATAATAGTAAATATTTGAAGCTGCATATCATGTATACTTGTAATAGTTGATGCCAATCCTAAAAAATAGAAATGTATATACAATGATATAAATTGATCATTATTATTAGAAAAAACAAATGGTAAATAAACTTACGAATTTTTTTCTGCAAATTTGCATTTTCGTTTATTGTTTCTTTATTTTTTCGCTTAAAATTTAAATGAGTCAACTCATTTTCTAAAATATCATCATTAATAGGACTCATAGGATTCTCATTATCACTTGAAATGTTTGGATCATATAAATCACCATCGTTATCATCAGACCTATCTAAGCAGCTTTCTATAACCACATGTTTGGTGGTCAATATATTCGATCTCATCTGGATAGAACTGGAGATGCTTGAAGTGCTAAGAACACTTGAAGAACTTGAAATACTTGGAGTGTTTGTTTGTTTTTCAGCAAGTTCAATGGAAGGTAAAGTATGTTGTGCACCCCTGCGTATGGGTACAGCTTTTTTCCTAGTGCGACCCATCTCTGCAACAAAGATAAGTATCTGCAGTATAAGTTACAAATGAATCAAAACTCACTTTAATAAGCTTTATAATACTAAATTTCGCTCATATTACCAATTACTACTGTTTTACTAAAAAGCCCTCAACACTATATTAGAAGATCCTTATTTCGAAAGTAAGAGTCGTATTTGGTTCTTTTATTTTTGCTTTGCTTACAAATTTTGACTATTACCAATTACATCACAATTCAACACACTATTTTAACTTTTAAATTAATCGATTACTCATCATTTATGCAAATTAACTATTATACTTCGATATACTTTCATACAATACTAATCTCTGCGTAATTATTTGAGTATAAATTTTCTCTTAAGTATACTAAAGATGGGCAAGGTAATAATGTAAGTAATAATTATTTATTTTACTTATTACGCAAGAAAACTATAAGAAATAATTGGAAATAATAAGTAATATTATGTTACTAAACTTGCCCATCTTTAAAGTATATGAGTTTCGATCCCAATTCAGATCGATCATCACGTGGGTAATTTGGGTCATGTGACCACCTATCCTATATTAATTAGTAATAAATTATGCAATTACATAATAATTTAGACAAGTTTATGCATGCAGAGTTTATTTTAATATCCACATTATAATTAATTAAATTGGGCAAATCAAATGAT